TGCGTTCATGACGCGGACAGCGGGGTAGCTTTTGCGGGGTAATGGTCTTGAGCTCCAAACAGGAACACGAATAAAGGGGGGAGGGCAGTGAAGCAAGGGAAGCACAGAGCGGAAGTAGAACTAGAGGATAAGACGTCGCTTCTTTGTTCTTTGGATTCAGAGGGGACGCTGTCCTCCATTTATTCCGGTCCTTTGACAAGAGCGATGATAACATGCATGCGACGCGGTTATCGTCGGTAGCAAGCGCTCCTTGCTCTTCTCCATCACCTTCGCCTGATAAGCGATGCGCGACGTCCAGTCCATGCTTGGAAGGCGGCCATTGGATAAGCCTTGCCTAGTTTGAAGCGTTCGGCAGCAGTGATTCGGTAGGTGTTGTTGCGGAGCCCGTCGGTAGAAATGACAAACAGGTCGCAAGCAGCTCACGGGATCTCCACACGCCACACAGGCGGCCACCAGACGTCCACAAGCTCCCGCATTAAGTAGAGATGTGGGGATACCGCAGATAACCGAGAGAGGGCTTAGTTTGCTCCGCAGCGTTAAGGTCCAGGGTTATAATAGCTGATCGAGCTTAGGCCTTTAAGTTACTGTAGGATAGCAGTCCGGCGACAACAAGCAGAGACCAACATGCAGTAGTCAACGAATCGGCAAGATCCGAGGAACGACATTTATGCCAGTATCATTCTTGAAGATTGCCCGGTGGTCGGTACTTCGAAGACGCCATTCTTCTCCGCCATCTGCCATTGCAACACTCTCATCCCCGATTTACCGGCACGTCGAACTGTCCTTCCGTTGGAATTCGAAGAGCAACGATGATGGTTCCGGTGATCCTCATCCAGCCTCGGTTTCCTACCTCAACCCCACCATCAATTAAACAATGGGAGACAGGATTGCGGACTCGAACGGGAATGCAACCCGACCTTGTCGGACTCGGGGCGTTGATGAGGCGTGCAGGCATCTTTTGACTGCCAATGCCGTCGACCCCTGCCCCACCCACCTCCCACACTGACAAGACCCCGCCCCAATGCCCCGTTCTCGCAAGTCGCACAATCTCATCCCATTGCTCTCTTCCACCGACACCGGAGTCATCTTCTTTGCCATCTACCCCCCCGTGGCAGCATCATGGATGGTTCAAACCTCCTGACCCCCCAATCGCAAGATCCAATTGCTGCCTTCCAGAGCCCGCCACCTTCGCTGGCCCATGCTGCCTTTGCCGAGTCACTCGAGCACAAGGTTGCTGGTAGCCCTCCACCGCCAGTTCAACCCCACACCACCCCGAAGCCTAACAAGAAGCGGAAGCTCTCCACCGTCATCGACCACGACCAAAGACTGTCCCTCAGTGATAATGGCTTCGATGATGAGGATACCGACCTCCAGCGCAATGGCTCTAGTCGCAAGGCTCGATCAGCGGGCACTAAACGCGCCTGCAACCAATGCCGGCAACAGAAAGTGTGTTTTCTTTTCAAGAATTGATCACTCATATACTAAGCCTCTTAGTTAAAATGCAATGTCATAGAAAGTCCGTGGAAAGACTGCGATCGGTGTCGTAAACATGAGCTCAGATGTGAAATTACCGCCGACTTCAAGCGGGTCGGGAAGAGATCACAACAAGCGGAACTGGAACGCAACAACGAGATGCTCGCAAGGAGAAACGAAGAGCTGACAAGGCTCTTGGCTTCTTACAGAGAGCAAGCGCCGGTGGAGCCTTACCGGGGATTTATTCGGCGTCAAGTCGATGAGTCGACACCGTTTTCAGAACCGGCTGGCACACCGAGGGACGAATCTTCACATGATGCTGTTCTTCTACTCAATCTCAAGCAGGGCCATGAAAGCGCACCTGCGAATAGAGCCAGTCCAATGGGCCGCACCAAGCAGCTTGGTGATGTAACTCTCTTTGGGGAGCTGCTGACCCGCCTTTGGGATGAGTATTTCGACAAGTACCATCTCTTCCTTCGAATTCTTGATAAGGAACATGATACCCCAGATTCTGTCTTTGAACGAAGCGAAATCCTCTTCTGGACCGTCATTGTCATCGCCGCTCGCCACTTTGAAGAGGATCGTACCTTGTTTGGGCGCCTCGCGCCACACTACAACATACTCGTCAAGGAGATGATTGTTCGGCCTCCCAGCAATCACTATGTCGTGAAAGCCCTCTGCTTACTGTGCACCTGGCCACTCCCTGTTAGCAGTACCACCGCGGACATGTCCTTTCCATTTTCTGGAATTATGATGAAGTTCGCAATGCAACTGGGCCTTCACCGACCCTCCCACCCTATGGACTTCTCCCGAACCCGGGTGCAGCTGCGCGCTGAGGACATTACTGACAGACTTCGAACATGGGCTGCATGCAACCTGGTAGCTCAGAACGTGTCGACAGGCTATGGTCAGCCACCGGATACAGTCTACGATGCTACTTTGAATGCACCTTTGGATGGCTCCGCGGAGCAGTACCGCGTTTTCAACTACCTTCATACACGCCTTGAGATTGAGAAGTTTGTAAACCGAATCACTCAGGAAGTTTACAGCCCACAACAGCACCCCCAGTCCATGGTAGAAGAGCCGTCAATACAACTCAAAGCATCCATGCTGGCCCCTACTATTCAGCAACTCGAGAGCACCGTGGACCTTAACGACCGTAAGTTCTCCTCTGCATGAAGTGCTTTTCTAAAACCTGCCAGATATCGATCGCCTCTACTTCCACGCGGCCCAACTTCACCTGCGACTGCATGTCTTCTTCGATGACCCGAGCTCACCCAGATATCAATTGGACTTGGAAGAGCTCTATCTGGCTGCCAAGGCAACTATCGTATGCGCTCTCAACTGCCCTGTTGATCTTCGGTATGCACCAAACTACGTCATGCAGATTATGATTGCTGCAGCGGTTGCCTTGCTGAAGCTTTTGAACTCGACATTCGGGTTTGCAGAACATGTGGACCGCGAAGTTGGCGAAGGGCTATTTGGGGACGGCATAACGGCAATCCGTCAGATGAGCGTGAAGACGAACGACCTCCCACAGCGCCTGGCGGAAGTCTTCGCCCAAATGTGGAAGGCGGACGCCGAGCGCATCGACAGCGGACAGGGCCCCGACTCCAGACCTCCCGGTGAACCAGACGCCAGCCTCACTCTCAAGCGCCGCTATCGGATGAGCATGTCCCATGTTTTCGACAGCATATGGCGGTGGAAGGACGAGCTGCAGGGCAAAGTGCGCACGGAAAAGCTCGACACGGCGGTCAAGAATCCAACAAGTCCGGTCGCCACTCATCGGGGCTCATTTTCGAATGGTCGGCGGCCCTCGAGTAGCCTCACTGGTGACCCCAACGAGCTTGGCATGACCAGCTTTGGCGGGTTTGGCATGCCTCTGAGTGGTGACAGTGATATGGCTTACGCGACTAGTTATGATTTCTTCGATCCAATGGGGTGGTATCTCAATGGCTTCGGTGGCACGACGACGGGGCTCGATTCGTGGCCGTAAAATGGCTTCGGTGGCGCGACGACGTGGCTCGATTCGTGGCCGTGGAGTTCACCTTGGGCGTGTGCCGGCGGATCTTGTGCAATGAGCCGCCGAGTTCAGCATCCGGCTGCCGAGTGTACTTTGTTCGGCGCTTGTTTGAGCGACGACGGCTTGTGGATTTCAACTGGTACTCCACTGGAAGCTGTCCACCTTCTTCTTTTCTCATTAATAACATGGCGTGTTTCCGGATGCTGAGATGGCGCAACAGATGAAGCGATGCTCTGATACCCTTGCTACTGCTCGGTGGCTTATGACTTTTACGAAGTGGATAGAAAATAACTATTGATGAATTCCTCCCTGTGTCTCGGCGAAAGGGGTGGTCTGACACTCGTGTGTTACGAATATAAGCATTGAGCTTGCAATTGGAGATGAGTGACTTGGCCTATCGATGAAGCCAATATTAAATTACTTTGAGCGGAGATGTAGTTCAATGCGTTAAGGTATATTCAACCCAAGACAGCAATCATACCCAGAGCTGCAGCCGCCAGCGGCAAAAGCCCGCGAATGAGATTCAGGGAATCCCACTTCTTCAACAGCTCTTCAATATTCTTTTCTGCCGCCGTAGTCTTTTCAGTCGCCGCAGCATGAGCATGCAGCCGGTCGTTCGTCGCCGTCATGAAAACGACAGTATATGGAGCAATCGCCATAATCAAAACCGCGCTCGCCGCGTACAGGGGCGAGGCATTCCTAGGCACCAGTTTCGCGAGTTCGGTTCCGCTCCGAACCGACCAGGCCACGTAGCCAAGGGCTGCGGCGGAGACAACGGAAATCGGCGGGTTCTGTGTCTTGCCGTAATGGTACATGTGCGTCCACTGTTTGGCGATTGTTTGGGCGGGAACGTTGTCTTTGGTTCGGGAGTTGCGAAGGGATGGGATGACGTTTAGCGCGAAGGAGGTGATGTTGCCTGTGTTGAGTCAGCAAGGCTGATATTTGTGCTACAAGTTGGATGGAGCTTACCCGCGAGGAAGGCCGCGCCAGTGAGGCCGATGGCCTGCGCAACGCGGATTGAAACGGGGAGTGAAGACATGCTAGTTGCGTATGGAGTTTGGCCTGCACTTTTCCTTAATATCCCGCCGTACCATGGCCTTTATAAGTAGCGGATGTTTCTTTTACACGTGATGTTGCTGCCTGGTTGGCAGCTGAGCCAGTGGACGGTCCTTGCAGATTAGCTCACATCTGGTGAAGCCACAAGTTGCTCGGCTTCATGAACCGGTGAAGGCCCCCAGTAGTGAAGCCGGCAAAGTTTGCAGGTAGGCGAACGTCGCTGCTTTCTGCAATCAAGAACCTACATATCGCAACTGCAGAACAACTGGAATATATCCAAAAATAGAGCGGCTTATGGCATCGTGCATATCGTTCAAAGGTTCAGCATGCCGAAGGCTGACGCCTTTCGATGCCAGGCGATGACTTGAGTTCGTATGTTTTCTCAAAAATCCCTATATATTCAAACGGACCGCAAGTTTTTCCATCTAGCTTCATATGGAAGTCAGCGGCTCTCGTGGCGCAACGGTAGCGCACTAGACTTCTAATCTAGAGGCTGCGGGTTCGAGTCCCGCCGGGAGTACATTTTTGCCTTTGTATAGGACGGGTTGAGACGCAGCTTGTGGGGTGGCAGCTGTTATCCTTTTTGTGCACAAAACACCCATGGTTAGTAACCGGGTTGTGCCGATGGAGAACCGGACACTGGTTGAAATTACCGTGCAGGGAGCGAGCCGTCGGGACAGCCCGAAGTTGTTGCATCGAGATACCTTGCAGTGGAATATAGTTATTCCGGTAGGCGCGGCGCCGCGTAGACGCGAACCCCATGCCAAGCACTGAAGGCCAGCCCGCTACTCCGTAAACTTCATCATCGCAGACACCGAACCCGACCCTTTGTTTCCTCCCCCACATCCGAAAACATTCCCTCGATTCAAACTCAGTCCCCACCCTTCGCTACGATGGTGATTCCGTAAGCGCAGCTCAGCTACCGACGAACTCATTTGCCTCGGATTCACGCGCGCCTTCATATTCCAACATCCACACTTCCAACCATGGCGGCCTCAAATGGCATCAAGCTCCGCAATGAGCGCTTTGCGGACATCCCTCTTGCCCTTGATATTCCCGTGCTCGACGCGGAGGAAGAAGCTGTCGAGGTCAACTTGACAGAGCTCCAGGAGGATCACACGGAGCTATGTACGCTTCTGGAAATGGAGAACGTTGCGCGCCAATACTGGATGACGGTTGCACTGGCCTACGCAAAGCAATCCAAGGTCGACCAGGCGGTAGAGATTGTGCTCAAGGCCGTCAAGGTCAAGACCGACCCAGAGGATCGTGTCAGTCTTCTTCATGCTGCGGTCTGGATGTGCCTTTCCAAGTGTCGCGAAGCTCCCCGCGAAGCGCGTTCTGATGCAGGTTCGTTGGATCACTGCAATCTGGTTTCAAAGCTAACACCAACTAGCCCTCATGGATGCACCTGCTTTCTACGCGTCTAAGCGCTCCGCCAACAATTCCAGTATGTCCACGTTTAAGATCGTTGAGCTTTGCTAAACATTGCAGATGAAGGCATCAAAACGAAGGACGACTATCTCCGGGAAGCGACCGGACACATGAACGAAATCTCTCGGATTAGCCCCTCGTTTCCCCAGCTGTACCTTACCCGCGGCATGGTCTCCTTGCTCCGCTCCACTTTGGTTCACCCCAACGAGCGCGCCGGCGCCCTCAAGTCTGCCTTGAATGACTTCGAGACTGCCTTGCGGGTATCACACCAGAACAACATCATGGCGCTGTTGGGCAAGGCTCGCGTTTATTTCGCGCTTGGCCGCTACCAGGAGTCTCTTCAAGTTTACCAGCTGGCCATCCAACGCGCCCCTCGGATGACGGAACCAGATCCTAGGATTGGACTTGGATGTTGTCTGTGGCAACTTGGCCACATCGAGGAAGCGAAGCTAGCATGGGAGCGTGCCCTTGAACTGGTGGGGCTAATTCCTTCATACTAGGACGATGCTAACGGTCTAGAATCCTGAGTCCAAATTCGCAAACATCCTCATGGGCCTTTACTACTTGCATTCGAGCGCTCAGTTTTCGAGCAGTGACCCTCGCTTCACGCAAGCGTACAAAAAAGCGATGGTCGTATTCGCCCAAAAGGCGTTCAAGCTAGATGAAAATACGCCCCTGACTCTCGCAACGTTTGGCGGATACTACCTGATGCGCAAGAACAAGCCCTTCGTCGAGAAGCTTGCCTGGCGTGCTATCCGCTATTGCGACGTGCCTGAAATCGCCAGCGACGGGTACTATCTGCTGGCCCGGATGGCGCATTACGAAAAAGATTACCCCCAGGCCTGGCTCTACTATCAACGCGCTGACGAGACTCGAGGTGGCGACGGTCGCGGTGGCGACGATCAAGGCCACACTGCTGCGAAGTTTGGCATGGCCCAGCTCAAGGTCATCTTGAAGGACACCGTTGACGCAAAGTTTCGTCTGGACAAACTGGTCCGCCAGACGAAGAGTGTTGAATCTATGTCGCTGCTTGGAAATCTCTATGCTGAGGAATACTTTGCCGAACAGCGGGAGAACCCCAAAGCGACAAAGACTGATGCATGGAAAAAGGCAGTGTCGCTCTTGGAGCAGGTGCGCCTCGCTTGGAAAGATACCAAGAAGAACTTGACTCCGGACGCGAATGTGCTCCTTCTTCTTGCACGCCTTTATGAGACGGATACTCCGGGGCAGAGTTTGCAGTGCCTGTTGCAGGTCGAACAGTTAGAGCTCGAAAAGATGGGAGATGACAAACGTCCGGAGGGCGTGGAGGATGAGGCAGCCATCAAGAAGGCAATGCGTCAACACCTTCCACCACAGCTCCTCAACAACATCGGGAGTTTTTACTACCTCGCCGATCGATTCAGCGAGGCTCAAAACGCTTTCGAAACCGCTTTGAGCGCCTGTGTCCGGATCGCAGAAGAAGACAAGACTGCCGATACCGACGCTCTTGTCACTACAATCAGCTACAACCTGGGTAGGACATACGAGGCGGAGGCCAAGCTTGATGAGGCGAAGACGGTATACACTAAGCTTCTTGACCAACACCCCGGCTACCTGGAGGCCAGCGCTCGCTCAGCCTTCATTTCACTCCTCCAGGATCCGAGTGGCTCTGGACCTAAGGCTGTCACCAAAGTCTTCCAGAGTGCCCCCGACAATCTGGAAGTCCGCGCCTTGTACGGCTGGTATCTTAACAAGTCCAAGAAGCGGACCAGCAACCCCGCGGAAGATCAAGAGCAGCGTCATCTGAAGCACACTCTGAAGGACTACAACAAGCATGACCTGTATTCTCTCACGACTATGGGAAATCTGCATCTCGTTATTGCGCGGGAGATGCCCCGCCAGACCGAACAAGACAAGGACCGGCGGCGGAAGATGTACGCGAAAGCGGTCGAGTTCTTCGCCAAGGCACTTCAGCTCGATCCCCACAACGCATATGCCGCACAGGGAATCGCCATTTCCATCATTGAGGACAAGAAAGAACTTGGGAAGGCTATCCAGATCTTCATGAAGCTTCGGGAGGTGCTGAAGGATTCCTCGGTGTCGTTGAATTTAGGACACGCCTTTTGTGAGCAAAAGCAGTACCCTAGGGCCATCGAACACTACGAAAATGCCTTGGCTAAGGAGAAGTCCCGGGACTACACGACACTGTCTTGCCTTGGGCGCGTCTGGATGCTTCGTGGCAAGTCGGAAAAGAGCTTGGATGCGATGAAGAGTTCCCTCGACTGTGCTCGCCGTGTAAGTCCATCTTTGCTCTCGCTGCTAAGCAATGCTAACCGCGTCTAGGCTCTTGCGATCTCGCCTGCTCAGATCCACTTCCGCTTCAATGTCGCCTATGCGCAGTTCCAGATCGCACAGATTTTGAACACTATCCCGCCCCAAGGTCGCTCAATGGAAGACTTGGAGACGGCGTTGGTCGATCTGGATGCCGCCGTTGAGACTCTAGCTGAGATTGCGAAGAGTCCCAACCCGCCATTTCCCCGCCAGGACCTTGAACAGCGCGCTGCAATGGGCAGGAGTACTATGCGCTCGCAGCTTGAGCGCCTAATCCAAGAACAGCGCACGTATGAGGGGAAGCACGCAGAGAGGCTTGCAGAAGCTCGCAAAATTCGCGAAGACGAGATTCAAAAGCTTGAAGAAAAGAAGCGACTCTTGGCTGAAAAGGAGAGCGAGAAAGAGAAGCGCCTTCTTCAAGAACACAGAGAGATGCAGATTCGGGATCGGGAGATCACCGAGAAGCGTGTCCAGTACGAGGCCACGCTGCCGCGCAAAGAGAAGGGCAAGCGCAAGAAGGACGATGACCACATCGATTCGGATGGAGAGGGAGACCACAACTACTCGAGCGAGGCTCCATCCCGCGGCCGCCGTTCTCGTGGCACCAGCGCTCCGACGGATGGCAAGGATAAGCCTCGGAAAAAGCGTCGCCTTGAGCGCCGCCCCAAGGCCCAGAAGGCGGAGAAGCCGAACAAGTACAAGTCGTCGGAGCTCGTTGGTGACAGCGATCTTGACGAGGACGAGAACGACGGTCTTGCAAACGGCAATGGGGATGCCAACGGCAATGGCAACGGTGACGCTTCCGATGATGATGCTGTTGCCCAACCGCGGAAGAAGGCACAGAGAGTCATCTCGGATGACGATGACGAAGATGTTGCTATGGAGGATGTTGCGGCAGGTGGTGGTGACGACTCGGAGTAGTTCTCCGATCATGTCGTGCATATGTACCGGCGTTTTTGCAGTTCTGGCGCACTGCAGGATAGGGGTGGGATCGGGCTCCGCCCTTCGTGGTGGCAAACGGCGTTCCATGGGCGTATCCAAGAAAAACTGAGTGTAGCATGTTAGTTCCAATCCTACTATCCCGCATCGCAACCATTGCCTGTTCTGTGATAATACCATGAATCAGGCACTCGAAACCGCTGGCCCGCTTCATCAAGGAAGGTACGAACACCCACCGTTGCTCATCTCGTCAAGAAGGTACGATCTTCATCAACAGGAAGGCACGCTTACCGCTTGCGTAACGCTAAAGCATAACTGCGGTACCCTTTACCAGAATGATGGTTCGCTGCCGCTAGGTCTAACGGTTCCTTTAACACGACTCACAAATTCTCTTCATCTTCATCTTCTCTCTGTACCATCCCCGCCGCCGCCTTGCAACGGCAAGCTCACATCTCCCAACATGTTTCCCGGTCTGGCGCTTGTTGTCACTCTCCTTTTTGCAGCAAACACTGCTGCGCATCCTCAGCCTCTGGGCTACAGTAGCTACAGTGACTCTACAGTGAATGATCTTGCTGCCTGTCTAGCGGCAAAGAATGTTCCTGCGAGCATTCAAACGTCGTCCGACTTCCCGGCTCTCGAGATCCCATACAATATCCGCCTCAGCTACACCCCAGCAGCCATTGTGATCCCCGAGAACAACCAGCACGTATCTGATGCTGTAATATGCGCAGCACAGAACAAAATCAAGGTCCAAGCAAAGAGCGGAGGTCATTCGTACGCTTCATTCTCCTCGGGCGGTCAGAATGGCAGTCTGATTGTCGACCTCGCAAAGTTTCAGGA